CCCTCTCCCCCTCTCCCCCTTTATCTTCTTTTCTTCTTGTAACTCTTTCTGCAGTTTCTCTCTCTCCCCACATCCCATACTACACCCATTCCCTCTCTCCCCTTTTTTTTTTTTGGTACTGGGGATTGAACTTGGGTCCTTGCACTTGCGCAGCATGCGGCAAAACCAGCTAAATCCCCGGCGCCCCCGTCTTTCTTCTTTACCCTTCTTTACCAATTTTACTTTCTAAGCCAGATCTTCTGCAGCTTATGGCACTGGGTCAATGATTTGAGAATCGGCAGCCCCCTGTGGGTGACCATCTGCTGTTTAATCCCATTGGATATGGGCTTTTTTTCTATTATCAAACAGTAGCTCTGAAATGTTAGCAGAGATTAGGGCACTGACCCCCACTTAAGTGCAGCTTATGAAATTCCTTTCCCCACCCACAGGGCACTGCTTTGTGTTACAATTGACATAGCAGAGAATTGCTAATCGTTAATGGATCCTTAAGTGCCTTTCCCCAGACCGCTTATTCAAGTTGCATTTCTCTTCTGTGCTTTGACAGTGAGGCTGTGTATGAGGTCTATGCTGGGGAGCAGTGAGAGTGAAGTGGACTTGGACGTCAGACCGGGGGCAGGTCTGGGGCACTGCACACTGGTGGTGGGTGGCTTCCTCCCCAGTCCCTCGCTGCCTGATACTGGTGCCATTTCTGTCCCTCTGTGACCTAGGAGTGCAGTTCTCATGGATGAATTGGAACTGTGAGGACTGACTGAATAATTATAATGCAGTTATATAGCATGTTTCTTTAACCTGAGCTAATTTTTTCAATTTATTGATTAACTTTATTGTTATTTGAGTTAATACAAAAGCAGATTATTTATTCTCTCTGTCTCTTTCCCCTCTCAACACACACACACACACACACACACACACACACACACACACATACGGGGGGAGGGGGATAAAAAGAAGTGGATGAAACCCTGCAAGCCCATCTCCCTGCCTGTGTGGATGTCCTTCCAAACCTTACATCTTACAAGTAATTTTACATTCCTGCTCTTATTCTCTCTTATGAGAACATTAATCACATTCTACAGATAAGGAAACTAAGGCACAGAGAGGTTCAACCCCTTGTCCAAGGCTACCTGACTAGTAATAGGCAGAGCCAGGATGAGAACTTTGTCCCCTATCTCAGGTCCAGAGGTCTGTACAGGAGACAGCCATGGGAGTGGAGGACTCTCTGGACCATGTCAGCTTCTACTGCTCAAAATCATGGATTTTTCCTGCTCTTCTTCCAGCCTATATCTTTTTTTTTTTTTTTTGGTACCAGGGATTGAACTCAGGTCCTTGCACTTGTGCAGCAGGCGATGAAACGACTGAGCTAAATTCCCGGCCCTCCAGCCTATATCTTGATGACCACTATGAATTGTCTAGGCACTAACCAAGGAAAAAGGGGCTTCCAAGTCACACCCACTCTGGTGCCTTGATGCATGAGAAAGCAGATCTCTGGCTGTACTTGGCTCCTTCCTTGATTTCTGACCTGAGAATGGGCAGTGCTGAGGTGGGGCTGGGCCACCCAGGATGGGAACCAGAAGGCCCCCAGGTATGGCTTGCTGCTTGTTTCTAGAGCCAGGCTGCAGTGCTAGATCTTCCTCAGACACAAGACGTTTGAGGAGACCCTCAACCCTCAACAAGCCATAGCTGAGAGTTGGAAACCTCGCCTCAGAGGATTTCCCACAAGAGAGGATGTCAAGGTCCTGAAAACTCAGCACACAGCCTTCTACCCGCCCCCACCCCTCAACAAGGATGAGCCAAAGCATCTTGGCTTTGAATTAAACCCATGGAACTGCCCATTCCAAACTCTTCCTAGAATTTAAAAAGTGATGGTAACCAGGGAGAGGGAGGGGTCGGGGTGGTCTTCTCACCCTTCAGCCTGCTCAGCACACATTCTGAAGTGGGTTAAGACATCTGCCTTCAGCTGCCTGGTGACAGTGCCCACCCTCCCTGGTCTCCCTTCCTAGTCACTTCACACTGCAGTCAGCATGAAGCTCAGCTCTGATCATTGAGAGAACAGTGAACAAGAGACATACATAGAACACAGTGGAGCCTGGAGGAGGAAACCTTTTATTCTGATTCCCCAGAGTCCCATGAGAGGGTCAAAGGAGACTTTGCAAAGACCATGACATTTTCAATGGGGCCTGAATGAGTTGGAATTTCCCAGGTTGAGATGAATGTTCAGTGTAGCCAAGGGCTGCAACAAACAAAGGCAAGGAGGCCTTCAAGTTCATGATATGTTGAGGGAATATTGAGTGGCTCAGTTTGGCTGGAGCAGAGACAAAAAGCACAGAGGAGGTTTGGGCAAGAAAAGACAGGCCAGCCAGGGAGGCTGGGACCGGGTTTGCATGGCTGGATGTTCCTGAGGCATCTGCCTGTGTCCTGAGAGCATAATGATGTTTAGCTGGAAGCTGGCAACAATCTGATTTTTCAGTTAAGAAACACATCAGGCTGAATTATAAGGGATCAAGACTGGAGAACAGGGAAAGCTGCTAGGAGGCTATAACAGGGCCATTGCTTTGGGACTGAAGAAGAGGAACTAGGTTTGAAATCTGTTTGAGGTTTGGATTTGGTCACTGCAGGGAGAGATGCAGGAGTAGCTGAAAACATCTAGCTCTTAATGTTGCTGAATTGTTCAAAAGCCTCAAATGGCTCCTCTCTGATCCCCCACCTCCATCCTGCAACAAATAAAGCCTGCGGTCTGCTGTCGTCAGTTCATGATCCTGGCCAGACTTGTCCCCACTCTCATGCACACATTGCAGCCAAACCAACACATTCCTCATTCCCCAAGCAGGTCCTGGGATTTCTGACCCAGCAACAATGCCTTTTGTTCTGATATCCACATGTATAAATCCTTCCTCATCTCAGTGTTCTCTGTGCTGTCACAATGTCACAATGGCCACCTCCTTAGTATGTACTCTGTCTTGTTTGATTTTCACAAGAACCCTGTGAAAAAGTAGCCCTGTTTTACAGATGAGGACAGTCATGCTCAGAGGGCTCATGTGCCCTGCCCAAGGTGACAGTGTAAGTGGCAAAAACTCTGCTGTAAATCTCTACACCATACTCTTCTATTGGACTGACTTTCCCTGTTTCTATATCTATCATCACTCTCTTCCTCTGCCCACTCCCACCCCACCCAGTGACCCATTGTCCTCTGGGCCTATGTAAGGCATTGCCTACTTTCCATCTTTCTGTCAAGTTATCTGAGTGCTTCTCTGCCTGGGTTGGAAGCCCTTGATCAGAATCAGACTTTATCTCTCCTGGGCAAGAGACATTACTCATAGAAGCTGCTCAAGTACTAATTGCATGAGCCAATAACCCTAGATGCTTCGGAGGAGGACTAGACTGGCTCCTAGAGCCCTAGCTCTCCCCATTCTGAGCCATGCCTCTCTAACCCCCTGGGTGTCCTTCTCAGATTAAGAGTTGCAAAATTGGCTTAGCCTAAATTTCTTAGCACAGCTCACACACTGTGGCTTTTCAGGTATGTTTTCTCACTAGACTGAACTCTCTGGGGCCAAAAATGAATTTTATTATTACACATAAAATACCTATTACTGATTTCTAATAATGGCCCTCTAACAATTTGCCAGATGTTTTTTCCACCTTTTGCAGACTTTATACTAAGCCTATAAGATAGAGACTTTGAAGCTTTTTTGTTTTTGCAAATGAAGAAGGTAAGGTTCAGAGAGGTTACATATGTTGCCTAAGGTTGTGCATCAATAAACTACTACAGGGAGGAAGCTCAACTCTAAACAAAACCCATGTCATTCTGAATCTCTTCTGACACTTAATAGCCTTAAAAGCATGATTAAGGTGTGTTTAATTGAAGAATGAAAATAAGAATGAGAATGCTGGAGAAAAATCACATGTGATTCACAATTGGCACTGTAGATGGAAAGAAAGGAGGAGGTGGTAGAGCTGGAGAATCCTCCTGAGGGTCAGCTCCTCAAAGATAGATCACTGAGGAGTGGAGGTGGGTGTCAGAGTCAAGGCCTTCCTGTCTCCTAACCTCTGTTTGCTGGTCTCCAGGTCCGTTTTGTGAACAGCACATGGGTGTTTGGGAAAGGCATGTGCCATGTTAGCCGCTTCGCCCAATACTGCTCCCTGCATGTCTCAGCCCTCACGCTGACCGCCATTGCTGTGGATCGCCACCAGGTAAAGACACCTGCACCCAACACTCGTTCTTTCCTGCTCTGGCCTTGCTTTCTTGGAGCCTGTGGGAAACACTCTCAAGATAGTGTCTTAGCCCAGTTTTCAATGATGGTATTTGTGTTGTTATTGATCAGCATAAGCATGTAGATTAGGGATATCAAACCCTTTGTCCTGCTAGTTGCAAAAAGTTATTTCCAGTTGGTTGTTCTAATAACTTGCTGATGGCATTTTTCTGCCTCAGAAATTGACAAATTTGTTTTTGAGAAGCAAACCTGGAAAATCACAGTTGAAGAGTGCAGGAAATGATTGTAGGTCAGAGATAAGGCTTTTGAGTAGGAGATGGATATTCACTGTCCCAGAGTTTTGAGAAGAAAAATAAGCCAGGATGTCCAGATGGCAGGAACAAGCATCATAATGGCACTGAGGTGAGGACCTCAGAAACACATGGGTGGATATGATGGTGGGCATCCAAAGAGGACCCAAGGGTGACCGTCTTGGAAGAGTATGTCTCCATGCCAGGTGCCTCACCCATACTAACTCAATGTACCTGTATTTTATGCTTAGAATATGCTAAATCAAAGAGAAGAGGCTCAGAAAAGTGCATGCATGGCTTTCTCAAGATCAGATGACTGTGAGTGATGAAGCAAGAATAAGGGCTGGCTCTGAGCTCATGCAGTGATCACTAGACTACCCTGCTCTAAGAAGACTCAAAGGAACCTACAAGGCCAAAGTCATCAGGGTTACCAGGACAAAGTGAAATGAGATTTGCCCTGAGTAGAACCAAGAGGTACAACAAAGACCAAGGGATAGGGGACTTCAAAGATGCAGACACAAAGGTGTAGTTCAATGTGAAAAATGATTTCCTAATAGAAATGTCCAAAGATGCAAAGCTATCTGGGAGGTAGCAAGTTTCATGTCACCAGCCGTAGCTAAGTGAAGTCTGGATGACAACTTGACAGGAATGTCTTCAAAGGGATTCAGGCGTATGATAAGCTATTGGATTTTATAAATTTTGTGATCTCTAGAATTCCAAAATGCTTTTATTTTGTAAAAATCAACTCTTCATATATTTGTAGGTATTTCAGAACAAAGTGTGAAGATTTGAATACAAATGTTTCTTGCTTTTTCTTAATCACCACTAATTCAGTAAGAGCTCTGAGTTAGTTTTACCTGGCCTACTTTTAACTCTGTTTAACACAGCTAAGTGAGAGTAGACCCATGGCCTAAGAGTGGGTCTGAGGATCAATATTATTCATGCTGACTATGTTGCTGTGACGTATACTCAGACATAGAGGCTAGACCGAAAGCCAGTGGAGTCGTTGATCAGTGTTTGGGGTCTCTGGCTCAGACTGCCACTTTCCATAGTGCCTGAACCCAGGAGTAAGAAGGACAGGGATGGCACCTGATGCCTCCACACATCATCCTCCCATAAAACTGTGAAAATATTGGGGGGAAAATCCCTGAGGACACATCCAGAATGTCATATATTTTGGAATGCCATCCTGAGGGAACAGAAGCTCTGTGTGACTCCTCTCCTCACTCCTTGGACTCACCTATTCCCAAATTTTTTTTTTTAAGAAGTAATAACTCTCATCTTGCAATGAGGATGCTTTAAAATTCCCAAGTCTTGGGCCGGGGATTTAGCTCAGTGGTTCCGACACCTGCCTTGCAAGCGCAAAGACCCGAGTTCGATCCCTGGTACAAAAAAAAAAAAAATCCCAAGTCTTTATTTAAACCTTTGAGAGGAACTGATTGACATACAGTAGCAATTTCAAAATGCATTTCAGCCTGAAGCCTGTAACGTTGGCTTTATTATAGGCACATGAAAGTTGGGCTCTATGCAATTTTAGCAACAGCTTTCAGAAATAGTGTTATGAGCTCCCAAATAAGTGTCAGTGCTGCTTTCCATGATAGGTACTGAGAGCTTGCTTTTCATGTCCACCAGGCTCAAACCTTTTCAGAGCCCTTCAGTCGCTTGGGGCTGTAGAGTCTCAGGAAGATGAGATCTGGAGGAGGTGGAGGCTGAGCATGGGCTTGTCCTCTGCCAGCTTTGCTGAGGGAGCCATGCAAGCAGAGCTCTTCCCCAGCCCCTCCCACTGCAGCAAGAGGCATGTGAACAGCCAACTCTTTTTCAACCCTGGAGGTGGGCTGTGTGTAGGGCATACCAGCACTGGGGGCTCAACAATGAACAGAAAGGATCTTAACTTTATGAACAGGACCTGCCTTATGTGAAAAACGAGCTGTGTCATCTGGATTCTTATTTGCTTCGGTCTTCTTCAACTAATGATGCAATTTGCTTGTTTTCCAGGTCATTATGCATCCATTAAAGCCCCGGATCTCAGTCACAAAGGGTATCGTCTACATTGCTGTGATTTGGATCATGGCTACGTTCTTTTCACTCCCTCATGCTATCTGCCAGAAATTGTTTACCTTCAAGTACAGGTGAGAGGAATTTGTAAGAGCAGCCTGGGACTCAGAGGAACTTGCCCATCTCTGCCTTCTCCCAGCTGACTGGGACCTTGGCAAAGGACTGCTGGAGTCCTCTCTGGATACACGATTCTCAGAGTTATGAGTACCTGGCTCGCTGAGCTATGCTCCTTACCCTTCTCCCATCTCTTGAGCTTTAGCCCACGCTCATTATCTGCATTTTTCTGCTCTTTTTCTTTTTTCTTCTCAACAATTTTACTTTCCTCCTTGCTCTTTCCAGTTTGTCTGCAAGGACAAGGTGGCTTCTGCCACCAGGGGGCATGTGCTCGCACGGATTGAGTTGGGAATCCGCAGGAGCAGGGTTTAAACTCTCAACTGACTTAGAAACAAAATACATATGTGTATTTGTGCTGGAGGGAGGATTATCTACCTCTTCCTACCTTTCATTCATGTTTATCATGTGCTCTCATCAAGTAAGGATTTCTTTCATTTAAACACTTACCTTTTAAACAGTTAAGCTAGTTCACTTATTCCTAAATCCCTCTAGATTGTAAATTTAGAAAGAGTTGGCTGCATTTTGGATTTGCTACCTCAGTGATTCCAACACCTTGATTAACTTCTCTGCATATCAAGCCCTAAATCTACATTTACTGAATGAAGGAAGCAAGGAAGGATTGTAGAGTTATTTAAAACATTTTATGGTTGTTTTAGGTGAGGTTCTTTAAAAATTAGTTCTGAGATAAAGACAGGTACACATGGAAGTGGTTTATGAAGGCTACAATCCCAGGAACGATGGGAGAGGGGGTGGGGAGGCAGGGCAGGATGGGATGGGGCAGAGACCACCCAGGGTTTGATTTCAGGGATATCACAGGGGCTCTGGAGCAATCTGATCAGCAGTGGAGCTGGGCTTTCACATTCTTTATTTGTTAATCATCTGCTCTAGGCACTCCTGAGCACTTCTAGCTCTAGGTAAATCTGTGGGAAGTGGTCTGAGAATAGTTCTAGGAACCTAGAAAATTACAGGTGCCAGCCAGCTGCTTCTGGCTCTGTGGGCAGGAGTTGGGGGCTGGTACTGTGTCCGGTAAGGGATCGCTGGGAATTGAGGCCAGTGCACTGCCAGTATCACCATTTGCTGTACTCCAGCACATTCACTCATGCTCCTGTGACAAAAGCAGAGTCAAGAGAAACAGGCTCTGAAGGCTGATTTCAACTAGCTTATAAATGAATCCTAGGATAGTGGAATGAATCACACACTCAGACCTCCAACATTCAGTTTCCCTACCTCCCTTTATACATGGAAACCTTTTTTTCTAACAAAAGCAAAGGGATTTTTCTCTTCTTTTGTTAGTGACGGTCACCAGCACATATCACAAGAGCACCAAGCCACATGGACATCCCTAAACAGCACGAAGAGGACCAAGGTACATCCTATGAACTAGATCCTTGTTAATGAGTAGCTGAAGGAATAGGAACACAGCACCATGGAAAATTCTAAGATTTCCTCAAGGATGATTCTATTCAGAGTAGGAACTTTACTACTGTTGTATTCATTAAACAAATATCTATTGGATCTCTACTATGGGCAGGAATCATGCAAGGGTAAGAGGATACAGAGAGGTTTGAGTGTCTTCCTTATCTTTAGGAACTCCTAGACTTGTGGGAAACCAGAAACATGATCAGATTATTAGGCTATGGCATCAAAGGTTCAGAAAGAGACAGGTGTGCCTGGAGCCCAAGGGAGGGATGAAGCTTTTCCACACCCATATCTCTTCCCTGTCCTGCTCTTTCTCTCTCCCTCCTCCCTGCCCTCAGTGAGGACGTCGTGCGTTCCTTGTGCCTACCAGACTTCCCCGAGCCAGCTGACCTCTTTTGGAAGTACTTGGACTTGGCCACCTTCATCCTGCTTTATATCCTCCCTCTCCTCATCATCTCTGTGGCCTATGCCCGTGTGGCCAAGAAGCTGTGGCTGTGCAACACGATTGGAGATGTGACCACCGAGCAGTACCTTGCCCTGCGGCGCAAGAAGAAGAAGACCATCAAGATGCTGATGCTGGTGGTGGTCCTCTTTGCCCTCTGCTGGTTCCCTCTCAACTGCTATGTCCTCCTCCTGTCCAGCAAGGTCATCCACACTAACAACGCCCTCTATTTTGCCTTCCACTGGTTTGCTATGAGTAGCACCTGCTACAACCCTTTTATCTACTGCTGGCTGAATGAGAATTTCAGGGTTGAGCTGAAGGCATTACTGAGCATGTGCCAAAGGCCACTCAAGCCTCAGGAGGACAGGCCACCCTCCCCAGTCCCTACTTTCAGAGTGGCTTGGACAGAAAAAAGCAATGGTCAGAGGGCTCTGCCAGCCAATAACCTCTTGCCTTCCCCTCAACTCCACTCTGGGAAGATGGATCTATTATCTGTGGAGCCCTTTGTGGCAGTGAGTTAGAGGAGGTTGGGAAGGGGCAGCAGGAGGGATCTATCTCTAGCTGAGACTGGAAAATAACCTGTCCTCTAACACAGGACCTGTACAATGCTGTAAACAAGCTCCTGCAGAAGCAGTAGGACTCTCGATTTCCTGGGAAAATTCCCAGCCTCCCAGCTCCATTTGATGTGAAAACTAAAACACAGCTATCAACGAGACATCTGTTTATAAATTCCTACTTGGGAGATGCTGTGAGCTGTCACACCCTGTATCCTTGAGCAAGAGAACCAAGGGCAACCCCCACTCCAATGGGGGTAGAATCAGTCAGCTGCTGGGCAGCTGTCTTCAACCCTTCCTTCTGCCTACTGAGCATTCACAGAGGAAACTTGAGTCATGCTTTGAGTGTGGCTGACCCAAAAGCACCGCGCTCTGCTGAAAACAAGTTCACTGGTCATTGAGATGTTAGCAAGCCAGAGTGGACACAGAGGTTTTTCTACCTTGCCTTCCAGAGTCCTTGGAACTAAGATGAGTCATTAGTCTAACAGTCTGGCCCTACACAAAACATGAAAGAACCATTTAGTCTCCTTACACTATTATTACCTATTGTTAGCACTTTGAAACATGCAGAAAAACAAAAAGAACAGAATTAAAATTGCCCCCTTATCTCATTGATTTGTGATAACTTCCGTTAACATGCTTTGGATTTCTTTGCAGCTTTTTCCTTTGTGTGTGTGTGTGTGTGTGTGTGTGTGTGTGTGTGTGTGCACTTTTTAAAAAAAAGTTGTAAGCCACACTTTACTGTTAAATTGTAATTATCAGCAAGAAACAGAGGTGTAGCTGAGTACTTCTGAACCTTTCTCCAAGGAACAGTGTCCACCACAAGCATTAAGGAAGAGGTGACAGAAGAACTTAAGATGAAGACTGTCATGAAGTGGACAGAATCTGCCTGTCAGTGGTGGACAGAGCCTGGCTGAAGTCCCTGCCTTCATTTGGAGGCCATCTTGATGAGCCAGGGAACAAGACTCAGCCACAGGGTATAACTCCTTTTTTTCCTGCAATTATACAAAAACAAGATGGGGTGGAACATGAGGAGATGAGGAAGCAGGCTTTCCAATGTGCTGGAAATAATTGTGCTTAGGCACCACATCAACCCAAGCTGTCTAGATAGGCCACTTTTCCATGTTGTCTGAATAATGAGATTTTTTTCACACCAGTTCCTGAAAGGAGACTCACTATCAACATCACCTTAGCAATTCACGTGTCACTTCCAAAATCTATGGAATCCTTAAAGAAACATTTTTTCTTCAGGGCTCACTTGCCAGAGAAATCTCATTCCAGAGACTGAATGTTTTCATCACTTTCCATCTGGTCCTGAGTGACTCATGGTGTCACCCAGAGAGATAGACGTGTCAGGAAGAAAGGAGCTTAATTCCCCAGCCTAGAGCAATTGCTTTTGTTGTGTTGGGCTATTTTCCTTCTGGCCCTGCAGAGATCTGGAAAGCAAAGCATGCATTTGTAGCTGAGTAGGAAACTGAGGTTCGGAGGAGATGGAGTTTGTACAGTATTTAACTAGATTTCTTGGCTGTTAGTTGAAACTGAACTTGGTTGCATTGTCTTTCTCTTTAATAAACAATAGGAGTTCCTTACACTAGTCTGTTAGAGGCTATTAGAAAATTTTCAAGATAGAAAAAATTTTAAATTACCTATTGAACTGTGAATTAAAAGAAATTACTTTCATGGGACAGAGAGCATTTTCTCAGTTCAAAGGGATTTCCCAAATGGGATTTTCAGGCCAAATGGCTCATGTGCCTATCCTTGTTGTCTTTGTGATGTCAAGAAGTAGCTATTATTTTTTTATCTTGATGCTGCCATAGAAACTCTATAAACCAAAATGAGAACAGGCCAGCAGGGATGCTGAAAACTGTCCTGTCCTGGGACTTATAGGGAAAGGTTCTTTTTCTCTACTATGAGGGCATCTACAAATACTGCCAACTCACAGTGGAAACCCTCAGGTCTGGGCCTCCGGCTGGTACCTGTCTGCTGCCTTTCCCATGTTCCCTATGTAACTCAGAGCAAAAATGACTTGTAATTGTGAATGTGAAATCTGTAAATCTTAAGTTTTTCCAATGTGCTGCAAAGAATGCATTGTTGTCAATTGTTCTAGTCACAATAAAAGATCCTTTGGATGTACGGACTGTGCCTGTTGGACTTGTGACTATCATCGTTTGATACTTTCAGCAGGAATGGAATGGAGTACTTGAAGGGAGCATTGAGATTATCTGCCTATAGCCTGGAAATTCAGATGACAAAAACTTAAGCATTAAGAGGGTAAATAACCAATTGAGAAACCTCTGATTCCTTATCCAGAGGCTTTCCCCCCAAATTTACTGCCAAGTCCCATCTTTTGTGGTGATAAATCTGTGCTGCATGTTTGAACCCTGAGCTCCATCTGCTCCTTTGTAACTCAGGAGGAAGTAAAGCTGCCACTTGAGCTTGGCAAGCCATTTGTCACTTGTAGTGTGTGATGATCATCACCTTCCGTGTGTTTTCCATGATTTCTGCCATACCAGGCTGGAGATTCCAGCAGGTAAAGCTGGGTGGGAGTTTTCACTGCATACATAAGTACCCTGATGCCATCTAGAGCATCTGTAAAATCAGTTTTAAACAATTTCATAAGCAGTTGTAAATAGGAGTGATTTGCTGAGCTTGGAGGAAAATTTGAAAGAAAAATGAAAGGCAAATGAGACAGAAAGAACAAGATCTGTTGGCAGTTTCTGTGTGCAGTTCTGTGCTAAATGCTTCTGAGCTCATTATCTCATTCATCCTCCCAGCAGTCCTCCAAGGGAGGACAATGTTGTTTCTACTTTTTAGATAAGGAAACTGAGGCTCAGCAAACTTAGATGACTTGCTAAAAATCATACATCTAAATATTACCCTCTTAGAGTAGAGATTAGATTCTGAGAAAGTGTGTAGAAAAGAATCTTACTATAAAAATATTCCATGGTTCTCCACATTTTTTTGATTGTGAGATTTTTTTTTTTGATAAAATCTGTTATCTTCCTGAAAATCCACTGGTGCTTGAAATACATATTTTGGGAAATGCTTGACTACATGAGTTCCAAAGGGCCTTGCAGCTCAGTGATCAATGGATCCATGGTTCTACCTCAGGCAGAATCGTGTGGCTGCCTTGTCAGCTCAGTTCTGGTTAGAACTGTTTTCAAACAAGCTTCTCAATTATTCTCACATTGCTGGTTCCTACTTGACTGACCATGCTAGGTTGCTAAGGTAAATATCCATCCTGTAGTCAGCAGAGACCTCAAGATCATCAGGTAGCAAAGGCGCAAATCAGCTAACCCCTCATTGTTCCCAAGCTTATCGTGACAGGACACTACAGCCTCTATGGTGTTGAGAGCCCTTTGTGTATCTGGGACCAGGAAGGAATTTGAGAAGACTGGTACGCTTGAAGCATCCATGGGGAAACACACTTTTCTTACAGTGTAGTCCGAAGAGGGTAGTCATGTGCTACCAGCTTTCTGCTGCTGTGATGGCTGATGATTAGCATCTTGCTTCAGCATCTCTGTGCACTCATTCCCTGCCAATTCTCTTTCATTTCAAAGGACAGTTAGGGAAGGGGGAAAAAAGTAAATACATGCAATACTAAATGCATTTGGAAAAACAAAACAAAAACCAGCAATATTTAATGTCAGAAAACCCTGGGCCTAGTCTTCTCCTTCCTGAGGTATCAAACTATGTTGCAGAGAATAAGCTCTTTGCTGTTTCATGGGAACAAAGTGCTTGAGCTTAACAGCTTCTCCTCTACTCATGTTTCTAGTACATCAGGTCTTCAGATTGGTCACAAATTTAAGATGCACAGTTTAAATATGAGAGAAGGAAAGGAATCATGAAGATGGGATGTAGTATATTATCGCAGGAAGGGGAGAAGGGATAACAGGTTGGTGTGAGATTAGGTGGGGACCACAGGATTAAATATAATTGTCCAAGTTTGAGCTTTTGTTTTGGACAGTGAGATCATGGGTGCTGATTACATATTACATGTAACTAATCATCCAGATAACTAAAAGAATTTCATATACAGACCAAACAACATTAAGAGTGCCGTAAACCAAAGATTATAATTAAGCCAATGTTGTATCCCTGTAGTCTATAAACAAATCTAAACAATAAATCAATGGAAATGGAGATCTAAAGATCCAAGCCTTCACTTTTCTTCCCTGCCCACTTCCAGTCAAGTCATACATAGATCTGTATTCTTAAAACATGCAAATACAGTTCACTGCCAGGACAACCGGGATATGACAATTACTTGTCCTTTTCAAAAAAACCTTGTTTTTCTGGAGTAAAAACTTGACTGTTTGTTTCTTGACTTAATTTTCTTTTCTTTTTTTTCTTTTTTGGTACTGGGGATTGAACTCAGGACCTTGTGCTTTTGAGGCAGGTGGCAGCCCCGCTGAGCTAAACCCCCAGCTTGACTTAATTTTCTATATTACATCTCTAATTTTTCCTCAGTTTTCAAAATTTGACACTGCACATGTACCATGTGTTTTGCCACCCGCTGTGTTGCACCCCCACTGAACTCCTGAGCTATCTGTGTGGCTCTGCTCTGGGCTGGTTGCTCCACTTGTAAATGCCTATTCTCCTAGGACTTTTCTGCCACCCTTTCCAAGGTTAGAGTTAGTTCAATTTTCTAGAGCCCTGTCTGCTTCATTTTTGACTTACTCTCTTACTTTGGAAGATCATATCTTTCAGTGGTTTCTCAAGAAAAGGTACATAAGAACATATTTCTTTGGAGGCCTTAACTATCTGAAATGTGTTTAATTTAAACTCATAATCAGTAGTATGTTTGAATATAGGATAATGGATTGAAAATAAATTTCTCTCAAAATTTTGAAGACATTTGTAGTAGCTTTATATTACTGCCATGACAAATTACCACAGTCAAAAATTGCTTAACAGGGGCTGGGGATTTAGCTCAGTGGTTCTGGCACCAGCCTTGCAAGCGCAAGGTCCTGAATTTGATCTCCGGTACCAAAAAAATATTGCTTAACAGTTCTACAGGTGATCAGAAGTCTGACACAGAAGGGTTGTGTTCCTTTCCATTGACTCTGGGTAGGACCTGTTTCCTGACCTTACAGCTTCTATAGGCCATCGACATTCCTTGGCTCTTACTTTCATTCCTCTAGCTTTAAAACTAGCAGTACTGCATCTGAGCTTCTTCCATAGTCAAATTTTCTGCTGAGAAATTGGATTCTTTTCTGATTCCCAGTCTTATGAATGTGACTTGAGACCCATCTATTTTTGGTTGAGGCCAAACTGGTGAGTTGAATGGGCTATAAGAGGAATCACAAGTTCTATTCCTGTCAAGAATTAATGTTGACACCAGCCTCAGTGATGCTTTTAAGTATGTAATGCTGCTTTTGTTTCACTATCTTCCCATCGAGGAGGTAGTTCAGGGCTTCCACTTGACACTACTCTACTATAACTGTTCTCTAATTCAACCACTTGTTAAGTATTCTAACTCTATACTTAACAACTCAGGATTTAATCACAGAATAGACTCATGGACCCACAATGAGTGGGACATTAGCTCAAATGCCATTTATTACTGGACACCCCCCCCCCAAAGTTCGTGGGAATGTAAAATGATATGTGCTTAGTCACTGTATGCTACGGAATACCCGTACCTCATCCTGCAATGATTACCAGATTCTCATTGCCCTCAAACCCTATGTGAGAAGATAACTAATTAGATTCCCATTTCCTTGAAAGTCTGTGGCTTGCCACCATTCATGGAACAAATTCTTTATCAATCAGGGTCCCCTGACGTAGAAAACAAGCCAATCTATCCAGTTAAAGTCTAAAAGCATTTTATTACAGAGAGATTTATTACAGAGCAATTTATTAGAGAGAGAGTACAACGTTCTCAGGATTACTAGGGCACAAGTTTGGATGTTTACAAGCAGAAACCATGTAGCCAAGAGAAATGCCCAGTTATCCTCTGGGACTTTGCTAGAAGAAAGGCGAATTGGACATCTTGCAACACTTAGAATCTCTGCCAGAGCTGCCACAAGTGAGCCAGATATACCTCCCACTCAGTGTGCACTGGAAGATATCTTTGACTTTGATGTGGCTTGTTTCCCATAGCTCACTTTGCCTTCTAAATCTCTTTTTTTTTCCCCATTAAGTTTATTGGTACATTTTAGGCATAAAATGCCATTACATTCATCATTGGGATCTTGTACCATTACATGAGTCTCTTGGTTCTTATTTTTTTCCCCTTCCCCTCCCCTCCCCTCACCCCCTCCACA